GGCGAGATATTTTTCTAGAATTTCGTACTAAGTTGAAAGTAGTATTATTATTGAATGAATTATATTTTAATATTTTTTCTATTATCTCGAAATTTATTTTTGATTATTGAATATTGTGATACAAGGAAGATTGATTGGACTTCTGCTGGAAATTAAATCTGGGATGCATTTTTGTGTATTGTAAGGCAGCATTGTAGATAGGATACCGTTTTGGTAGAGATTTCAATATCCGGGAAAATATAGTAGAATATGTTTTTCAAATAATTGTTCAATTTACAAGAAGTTATGTTTTTTTTTCAAAAGTTTTTGTAGATTATTCAACTTTCAAGCGGAGATTTTTTTCGAATAATTTTTGTAGAGATTTTAATTTTCAGGTGTATATGTTTGTTTTTTCAAATAATTTTTATATATACTTTAATTTCCAAGAAGACATATTTTTTGTAGAGATTTCTATTTCCCAATTTCCCAAAATATATATTTTTCAAATAGTTTTTGTAGAGATTCCGATTTTCAAGAGGAGATACTTGTTCCAAATTTAAAGAGGATATGTTTTCTTCAAATTTGTACACATTTTCATTTCCAATGTGGATATTGTTTCAAATATTTTTTATTATGGAGATTTTAGTTTTCGGAAAGATATGTTTTTTTCAAATATTTTTGTAGAGATTTTAATTCGAAATATGTTTTTTTTCAAATAGTTTTTGCAGAAATTCCAATTTCCAAATGAAAATATAGAGTTCCTGCTATAATGATAAAAAATATCCGAACAGTTCATCTCATTCATACAGTATTTATCTTCCTCTTTACTGTAATACTTTCCCTCCAACTTTAGATGATATAAAAGTTTTCGCTGAAATTGCTTCTGTAAAATTGTCCAGAAATTGTGTCGTCCTACTAGTGCTTATGGTCTCTTGGTAATGCTATTACTATTACAGAACCTTCACAGCCCAAAAGAAAAAGTTCAATCTTCCTTGAACGTAAAGTGTGTCTCCACGACAGTTGTTTAAATTTCACTCAATATTCTGGTTTATAAAATACACTTTCAGTTTTCTGATTATAGATGAGTGACCAAGTTTCGGAGAGGTTCGGAATCGTATTATATAAGTCCCTTTTTGTTAAAAACAARTAACATACATACACGTTCTCTAATTATAATGATTACTCAGAGGAAATCTCTAGGTTACCTTGCGCATGTATTTCTTGGTCGAATATATCCATACAACTGAGCATATCTTAACATTTTTATCTTGAGAGTCCAGATTGAGGTTGAAACATCTTAGATGTCATACTCAGTTCACTTGGAGAAATGTCTGTAATTAATATTAATCGACATATTTATGATATGCTCAAAGATCCTCCTCAATGAAAAAAATTTCCTTTTACTTCCAACAGTCTTTAAAATCGCAAAGTATCACTGTTCAACTMCCCACCTGCGACAGACGATCAATCCTGAGGCAAAACAATTTATAACATTTTTCTCCTTAGAGCCTCTAAGCGGYAATATCAAACCACTAACAACCCACAAAAGATTTATTTATACTTCATWATATCTTGTTTAAATATTTATAAAGTACGAATGAAAGTGAACATTTATTTAGTTAGTCTAATTTACCACTTTGCTCACATTTATATATACATATATAATATACATATATATTTTTTGTCCCTCCCAATAAAATTGCGTCAATTTCACTTCAGCTACTCATAGCTCAAGTTTATTTAAATAGATAAATGGCTTGCTGCTGATAAAGTCAATACATTCCCCTGCCCTCAAGAAGCGTATTTGCCTCCAACTGTGTCAACAAGCCGTTAAGTGCTCGCACTTTAGAACATTTACCGCTCCAGATTTTGGCGCTTAAAGCTATCAAGCTAGAGTCACAGTGGGTCAAGTGCGGYGAATGCTTCAATCGTATTATTATATAATACATAATCTTCTATATATATGTACTTAAATACGTATGCAGAATATATGAGATTAACGCTGTGTATGCAAAGACATATTTCACGCTTGAGACGTTCTCTAAACACAAGTGCTTACTGTGGTTTGCATTGAACTTGAAMGACTTGTTCGCATTACATTTGCGAACGTTTTGTATTGAGAGTTGTAGTCATGTAATATATATTGGCTTCAGCATTGATAAATGTCGCTCAGCTAAGAAATGTATGCTCTTATAAAGATTTCTCTTGGCATCAACTTGCTTGCATTTCTCTTTATGAGCGAGTTTGTTGCTCGCTGTGCGCAAACGCCGGTAGAAAGGGTGTTTATACTAGATATAACGCGGCAGAGACTGGCATATCAGCTGTTTGGCTTTATTGTGACATGAATTGTCCATAAAAACGTCACATTATTTCTCATTGTGATTTTATTGGCGTAATTTAATATTTATTGCGAAGGTTGTGGAGAGAAAACCTTTTGGAAACGTTTACTTTTTCACGTTTTGTGTGATCGAATTTCAGTAGCGGCACTTTTAATGCAATTTGAGAGCATTTGGTGTGCACTGGGAAAATTTTTGT